TACATTACAACTAAAAGTCACTGGCTAGTCAGTCTCATACCAAACATAACAACTTAAAGCCACTGGCTGGCCGGTCTCATACCAAACATATTGATTAAAAGCCACTGGCTGGTCGGTCTCATACCAAACATATCGATTAAAAACCACCAGTTGGTCGTTTATTAAGCTAGACTATTGTATAACTTGGTCCCACACCAAAACATATCAACTCAAAGTCCATGGCTCTTTGTATGATAGCTGGACCTTTGTATGGCTTGAGCATATACCAAAATGTTCGTGAGGCTTGATGTGTAGTATGGTGGGGCTCTATACTAAAAAAGAACAAATTGAGCCACTAGCTGACTAAAGCTGAGTCTCACACTATCACTTACCTGCTTCTTAAGTCACTGGTAAGTTGCATGTGATTTTAGGATTGCAGGTTATTCTATTCGAGCAATGGCAGTTCAAGTAAATGTAAATGGTTACTTTAAAAAGAACATATATAGGAACATGGTTAGGACCAAGCGAACTATTTGAGGAATGGGTATTAGAGTAATGCAAATTTGAGTAAGTGGATTCACTCTACTACATTTGATACCTGAAAGCTTCATTAATATTAGAAATAGAGGGGGGGGGGAGGGGGCTGCGGTGGCCAAGTGGTTAAGGCGTTTGACATTCTGCTACCACTTGCCCTCCACCACTGGGTTGCGAGTTCAAGGCTGACGTGGGACAGTTGCCAGGTACTGGTCGCAGGTCGGTGGTTTTTCTCCAAGAACTCCGGCTTTCCTCCACCACCAAAACCTGGCACATCCTTAAATGACCATAGCTGTTAAAAGGACATAAAACACAAAAAATATTTTTGTTGTTACAGGATAGTACTAGTCCGACACAGATCCTAAGTCACAGTCAGGACACTTGTTAATACATTGTTGTTACAGGACGGTACTAGTCCGACACAGATCCTGGGTCACAGTCAGGACACTTGTTAATACATTGTTGTTACAGGACGGTACTAGTCCGACACAGATCCTAAGTCACAGTCAGGACACGGGCAGGAGTGTAGCAGACCTAGAGAAGGAACTTCACCTCCTCAACAAACAATTACAAAAGGTATATCTGCCTCTATATAACATCTCTCGTCTGATTCTGTCTCATAATGTCTGCTTATAAAGGCTTCTTTTCTGAAATGGTTAAGCAGATTTAAAGTTAATTTTGTACAAGTATATACCATCAATTTTGTAAATTGACTTTAGAATGAAAGTTTTCTTTTGTTTTGAGGTTCTTTACATATTAATTAAAGAAAAAGCAACAGAAATGTCAACAATCAATTTGCTGAATGATTTCCACTATTGGTACCATGTTTGGTGATTGTTATTCAAAGATAAATTGTAGATAATTTTTGGGAACTGTGTCACTTTTGAAAATAAAGAATGCTTTAGTATTCATTTTTTATTACAGCTGTATCAGTATGTTAGTAATTTTCAATAAATACCACATAAATGAAAAAAAATGAAAAATTAACCCTTTCACCACTGAATGCATGGGAGAGTCTACTAAAGTTGCATAGGAGTGAAAGGGTTAAACAATGAAAAAGGTTTTGTGCTCATGATGAGCTGGCAGTTCAAAGTAGCATTTTAGTCATATAAATATTATATTACCTGTCATATTATGTAAACACGAAACGTAACTAATGATTATTCACCTTAATCTTTACAAGGAAATGTAGGTTATATTGTTCTACCTTTGGTTAAAATAGTAATTGCTGTTTCAACAATTAGAAATTTTATTGCCCCAGTACAGCTTTCTTCGGGATGGAATTTGACAAGAAATGTTCGGAATGCAATATATGCTCAGCGTATCTGGCTCAACTTACTTCTTTTATTCATTTGTTATGTCAGAACAACGAATTCACGGTAATAATTTGTTATAAAGTAATTAAAGTATGGAATGTATCGGATGTAACCGATTTTCCTTCATGCTGTCATTCCGCAGGAGACAGCATGGGATCATGGAAATTGATTGGTTCCTATTTCTTAAGTTTTCTGTAAATTAAGTGAACAAGGAGTAGTGGACCACCTGCGAGGGGCTGGTATTTTCTGGAGCAATAAACGCTTATATCATCTGGAGGTTTAGCAGGGAATCCTGTCCTTTAACAGTGTAGTTTTAAAATTAAAGCTCTGTTTGAATGCATGCAGCACTTCCATGTTTTATTGTTCATAGTTAATGGTAGAGATTAACATGTGTTGTTCTGTAAAAGAACATGAGTACAAACGTGGACGAGTCTTGTTTGATTTGTTTATTAGAATGCTTTACTTTTATGACCAAATTAGCAGTTGTGAACCGGCCTATGGTGTTTTGTTTGACAAACATGTGGTTTAAATAGCCGTTCAAATTTAATCTATTTACATGGAATTCGTTGTTGGTGGTCTTGAACACCTTAATGGTTAAGAAAATATTGTGTTTTATTATAATATCTGCTTGCACGGAATTCGATTATTTCAAATTTTTTCTTCAAAAAGTTTCCGTTCTATTTGATTAATTCACAACCTGCTTTGGGATGATCTTTCCAACCTAACTATAATATAATCATATTTGTATGTAGTTCTAACATGTGACCTATTATAGGATAATTATGAATAGATAAAAAAAACCACCTGATATCTTGCAAGGTGGTCTACTGCCCGTTATAGTTCTCTCGATTCAGATTTAAATGCACTACAAATCTGAACATCATGATTTTAGGTCACCTTCGTAAACAACTCAAACAAACTATTGCAATCCCTGTTGGTCATCCTTTCACATTTTGCATTTTCAGCTAAATCCAAAGCCATCCACGGCCAGCACTTTTGAAACCTATTTCAATCTTAAGCTCCAGTTTTAATTGACCAATTTAAGTGAAACTTGGTAGTGACGATTAACCGATGGTACTGACAGTGTAGTTAATTTTTTTCACATCAGTCAGAAATCCAATATGTTTTAATGGGCCTATTTCATTGAAAATTATTTTCCGATCTCCTTATTATCCTGGCAAGGTACTGATATTCTTCTGGTCCATTTGAAATCCAATATGGCTGCCACAACCACCATTTTGAAAACACATTTCAAACTTAAACTCAAGTTCTATTGGACTGATTTAATTGAAGCTTTAACAGGACAATGTATTGATTATCCTATAAAAGTATTGTTAATTCACCCGGCCAATTTTTCAGGTCACAAGGGTCAAATGTGTTAAAACTTTCAAACAATTTCTTCTGAATAATCAAGAGGCCTCGGCTAATGCTGTTTGGTCAGTAGCATGCTAGGTTAAGGGTATCGGGTTTGTTTAAACTCTCAAGGTCACAAGAAACAAATGTTTTAAATCTTCAAACAACTTCTTCTAAAGAACCAAGAGGCCTAGTATAATATTTGGCTAGTTGCATGGTTTGATGAAGAGCTGTCAAATTTGTTCAAATGAATGACCTTGACCCACTATCAAGGTCACAGGGGTTAAATTTGGTTTCTTCAGATTAACCAAGAGGCATAATATGATGATATTTGGTGTTAATTGATATGCAGTGTGGAATGAGAAAAGATATTACCGGTAAAACAAATTTGATCTTGACTATGAATGAAGGACATTGTTGTGTAATGAATGACAGGTGAACAATACAGGCCTATTGTGCCTCTTGTTTTGGTTAAGTTATTGATAAATAGATATTTGTTGATAGATAAAGTAAAATGTCATAAAATGTCATTAGTTCTTCTGCAATGTTAAGTTTTAATTTAGCTTAATAAAACACAAAATGTTCATATCATATTTGTCAAATGTAATGATATATTATCAAGCTGGTGTAAGGATTGTGGGTGGTGGGTGGGTTGCGACTACACTGCTAGGAAGCTTCTGTAGGGATATGTTTCAAGCTAGGTATCCTTCTACTAGACATGATGTAATAAAAATGCTCTTCCTGTGCAGATAAAAAATCTCCAATAATATGGCTCTACATGATAATAAGTGGAGCTAGGATCACTGATAGATGGTGGTTTTGGACAATTAACGGTGTCTGCCAGGTGAGATTGATGGCGGTATGTGTGTGTGGAGGGGGCCTACCACTAACCACCTGTCCATCACCAGCCGTCGAAATTATCCCCTCCCCATCTCCGCCTGTCTATCCCAGCAGACATGAAGCCAAGATTCTCTGACCCTGATGGATGGTCTCTGGTGATACACCAATAATGTTGTAATTTGGAAGAGAATAAAAATTTCAGTTTGACAGGCATTCAATCAAAAAAGTTCAAAGCATTCTTCATAAGACATGTTTTTGTCTATGAACTAGTCTGTATACTTCATCATATATAGTTTGGTTTTTAGGTAAAATATATAAGGTGTTAAAATTGCAAACAAATATTCTTAACTTTAGCTCATCTGTCCGAAGGGAAAATGAGCTTGTGCTGTGAGGCAACATCTGTTGTCTTTCCATCCAGCATCAACTTTTATCATTATGTTCTAATGAATGACCTTGAACCACTTTCAAATTTGCAGGGGTAAAATGTCTTAAAACCCTTAATTGTCTAACATCCTTAAGCTTCTGTATATCAAATAAGCCTATTTGGCTTGTGGCATGTTAGAATGATGGGCTGTCATCATGTTTGTTCAAATAAATTATCTTGACCCACTTTCACAGTCATAGGAAGTCAAAAGTGACAATAGCTTTCGAAGACCTATTTTCAATAACCAGAAATGCCCAAAGGGTCATGATACTAATTAGCATGTGGTAGGCTTAGATAAAGGGATATTGAGTTTGTTTGCTGTCATTTTCACATGGTTCAAACTTGAATAAAATTCTCTAAAGACCCTTTTAAGGCCTGTAGCTTGCTGGGAAAGCATGCATTCTCATTTTGTAAAATAAATTTGACCTTTTAAACAGGATACAGGCCCATCAGGCCTACTGATTATTTCAGTTTCATAAATATCCTCTAAGTAAAAGCTATGTGTATAATCCTGCTAATGGTGAGCTTTAGTATATTTGAAACTTTCCCAGTATATATAAAAATTTCTGACTGAAACTCCCCAGGTTTTCAATCCTGAGGTGTTCTAGGAGGAAATTTACACCATGAATACAGTCACGGGTAGGAAGTGTACTCTGTGAGGGAAATCTCGTTTCCAAAAGAGTAAACTACTGATACATTGGTGCATGATATTTAAATCCCTCAGATTTGTTTTTGGGGCAAAGTGGTGAAAAGTTTGACGCTGCAAATTTCAGGTGTATGAGAAGCAGCAGAGAACAGTGCCTTGCAGTAAATAGAATGATTTATCGTTTGTTTATTACGCATTAAGCAATCTTATCATTTAATATTTTACAGATTGTGGACTCCGGTCAGTATGATCCGCCCGATAAGGTGAAAGAATTACGAGTGCGCAAATCCAAGTTGAACCTGAAGAGAGTGTTTATGATCGGACTGTGTGTTGGCTCCGTAGGAGTGGCCTTCTGGAAGAGAAATGTGATACAGGAACTGTGCTCTAGGTACTTCAATACGGACCTTTCCAGATGACCCGACATCTAACGCCAGGGACAGTCCTGTTGGTATTAGGCCAGTCCGATATCTCTTTGATTAAACAAAACACACTTAATTACAAACACTTGGTCAGTTGGTCAGTATGACAACTTGACCAGTCATGCAATCATTGGTGATATGGAAGGAGTCGGACCTATCATAAGTAAAAATTCCTCAAAACATGGTAAATTAAAAAAAAAAAAATTACTTTGTCTCATGATCAGATGAAATGTGTTGAGACAATTTATTCTCAATTAATGTTGTGGGATGATTAATTTGATTTTAAATCAAAATTGTGCTGAGAGAGTTGATTACATTTGAAATAGAAATTATTATGTGTCATAATAAAAACTGGAAAGTAGTACAAGTATGCTAAATATATGCTCACTAAATAGCTAAAATGCTCATATTTTAACATGATGTGGAGTTTGTCTATCTTAACATTCCTTAGTCCCAGGTAACAAAAGGAAATCACAGGTTTTCATTGCTTTGATATGTATGCCTCTCATGATACTGTGCTATTCCATTCAAAAATGTAAGCATCAGTTTGACAGAGATTGAGAGAGGCTGAGTGGGGAGAAGTTTGATTAGCATTGGAAGCAAGGATTTCGGTGACTAAGATTATAAATATTAATTTTGGTATTTTTTGTACTTTGTACATAATTCATGTGTCAGTCCGTTTATCAGACTGGTTTCTGGGGTGTCTTAATTACATAGGATTATCAAGAATGGCACACAATAACATTTAGGGCAGAAAGAAACTTGCAAACTTACTAAAGGTTGCTATAACTCACATCCTCGATACTCCAGGAGTTACGCTCTCTTACGCTCTCTTCACTCCTGGAAAATGTCATAGCGAAATTGAATAATAATAGTAATAATATACAGCATTTGATATAGCGCCCTATCTAGCTAACAAAAGCCACTCTAAAGAGCTTTACATTACATAGATGTACAATTAATACAATTAGCATATACATTCATCAGTACAATTTTTGAGGAATTTGCAGGAGGTGCCTTATCAGGTGCTAACTACTAGTCATATGCCACCTGGCTAATATCTCCCTATGTGTGTATGCCTGCATGTGTGCTGGAGATGTAATGTGTTCTGTTTGTAGTGGGACCGTGCCACCTCACTTGAATGCTACAGCACAGATATTGCAACATCCACCCCAGACCAATTTATACTCCACCTGGGTTGTTGGAGTTGTGTGGGTAGGAGAAAAACACTTTCTCTGAATATCAATGCGTACGACGACTTCGAGGATCGAACCCCGGCCGCCTGCGTGGAAGGCCTGAGTGTTAACAACTCGACCAATCTGCCCAAAAAGCATTGTGCGTGTCTTCAATCTATTTCATTGGTCCCGGGTAAAAGAACTGACCAATTGCTAGGCTGTCCTTTGAAGATTACAGAGGAGCAACATCCAACTCTAAAGTCAATCAATTTTATTGTTACGCGACCAAGAGATTCTTTTGATGTACATTATAAGATTAAACTAGTCTTCTTGTCTCACCTTCAAGGTGGTGCACACTGAGCCTTCAATTTTGTATAACATTTTCCAGGGTTGAAGAGAGCATAAGTGAGCGTAACCCCTGGGAGTGTAACCCCTGGGGTAACATGGATGTATAACTTATAATTTGACCTTAAACCTCAAACAATAAAAAATTGTTTCAGAGCCTTTCTCCTCTACTATTTCAAATAGAATGATTACCCACAGTATGCGACTTCATCAAGGAAAGACAGGGAGTGATGGACCACTACCAAATCCAGGTCACTGTGACCTACATTTTGACCTCTGACCCCATTTTTCTAAAATGATTCATCACTTTCAGTGTGAAAAGTCAATGAGTATATATTTCAGCTTTGACTTTCCATGGAAGTAATGCGACGTATCCCCAAAGCCATGACTTCAAGCTGAATCAAGTGTGTTACAGGTGTTTTTATGTTGTAAGTTTATAATTCTCACAATATTTCATGAAGTTATAGCAATTTTGTGGAACAGAAAAAATTCCTCTTGACAAGAATGAGGTCAAGCTTAAATCTAAATCACCAAATAAGAGTGAGAGCATGCTTTTATCTGAACCAGAATGAGAGCAAGAGTGAGAACAAGGTTGTATGTGAGTCAGGTAGAGCAAGTGTGAATCTGAACCAGGGTGAGAGACAATTTAAGAATCTGTGTGAGAACAAGCTAAGGTTGTGTCAGAGTGAGAATAAACTGAGTGAGACTAACACATACATACTAACATTGGTGCAGCAGTCCAACTCCCATAAGGTACCTATAGTTTGTTATGTAATCAAAATGTAACCGTTTGTTGTCCTTATTATGTTTTCATATATTCTCGTTTGATAAGAATGATTTAGATAAGGTGCAGTGAATACTGACATTCATCCTTTAAATAATTCTCATTAAATAGAGTGTTTTTGGTTCTGTGAACTGATATCTTGATTACCCTGTTTTTGGTTCTGTGAACTGATACCTTGATTACCCTGTTTTTTTCCCTCCATACAAGTTACAGGAAGGTATTTAGCAGCCCATTCATTCTTTGTTCAGGACTTTTTTTATGAAAAATCCTCTGTAAAACTAAAAGGTTCATATAGCACAACAAGTGATTTTTTAAGTGAAACTTTTTGCTACGATAACAGTTGTGTACTCGTTCACCTTTATCAGATAAATGACAAGTAAACGGAATGTACACCTAGGTGGAAACTATGTATGAGATCACTAGTAAATGAACAAGTCAGTTGGGGTACACTTTGTGTTCTTATGGCAGGATCTGTCTCACCTATGCTTCAGTCACATTTGCGCCGATTTCCGAAATGGCGCTCGGGCAATGAGTTTTTTGGCCAAAACCGGCCGGCAAGCCGGGGAATGTAATGGGCGCTGGGATATTATCAGCCACTATCGGCCAATTTTTAGACCCCGCACGGGAGCTTTAAACACAGAGATAAAAGTTGCCGGTGTCTCCCTAATTTTGTCTGACCCAAACTCATTGGGACCTACCCGGCAGTCTCCTGTAAGTGTCCTGCAAGAATTTCGTAAGATTATCTTACGTCTCCCAGTGGCATCGTACGCTCATCTTGGGATTTTGTACAATTTTACATTCTCCCAGGTGTTCTGTATACTGCCTGATGTCCGGAGGGTGCCATACGGCAATACATGTAGTAAGATAGACGCTCGATGTCCTCAAACTGTGCGGTGTCCGTGGGATATTCAGCCGCTCACCCAATATCTACACGCCATATAAAATTCAAAATATCGTACAACTACCTATGTATCCTGTACGTATCTCGCCTGTCACACGGCCGCACAAACATCTTCAGGCCACCATATGATAGCGTGGCCATCCTCAGATACCCTCTCGGTATCCTTGCGATAGTCTTGTGGGCTCCCTAGGGTATCCTTGAGATATCCATTTAATTTAATCTGGCAAATTGTTTGCGGGGGCCGCGCGGTGCCAATATCTAATGTAACCATATTCACGGCAAATCCCAGACGTCCGGGGGAAAATGTCCCCGGACACCGGGAAGACAGCCAATTCCTACTTCCTGGCCAGTTGCCGGCGCAAATGTGAATGAAGCATTAAAGTGGCTTCAAATTTCTCCAAGTCCATTGTCAATGGTTCTGTTGGTAAAGAGAGAGACATGGTCTTCTGAAAAATAAATTCTTTGGTATTTTTTTTAAATCCTGAGAGTAGAATACTTCCTTCTAAATTCTTGACATGGTTTTTTGGTTCACCCACATGTGGTCCAAGTATTGTTTGCTATTGACCTGAAAATATATGGAACCAGTATAGTCTACAATATGTGAATTCTCAGTTTGTAGATCTTGGGTATACAGTATGTTGCAGGGGTGTCCTGATCTGCTGTGCAATACAGGTACAGAATCTGTTTTGAGATTCTGTTATTTATCACACATACATTACCATGTGCTAACAATGTGTATTGGAAACAAATTTAATAGAATGTGATGTGACAACACTGGTTTACTGGAAAGCTGTTTTCCCAGCGATACAGTATAACCCTGGAATGTGCTCATGTGGTCAGTAGCTGGATGGTTGTCCATTCACAGGTTACAATATGTAAAGCTCCATCAGTCATTTGTCATGTGAGGTTGACAGAGTAATAATAATTAAAAATAAAAATAATATACAATATTTGATATAGCGCCCTATCTAGCTAACATAAGCCACTCTAAAGCGCTTTACGGTACATAGATATACAATTAATACAATTAGCATATACATTCGCTGGAGCTGCCTTATCAGGCGCTAACTACTAGTCCTATGCCACCTGGCTAATATCTCCTTATGTGTGTATGCCTTCGTGTGTGCTGGAGATGTATTGTGTACATGTTGTACTAGCCATTGAAATGTTACACTTGTAACTTAAATGACTTGTCATTTAATGTGTTTGACCTTGATGTGACATTGGTTTAGCATAACTACCTCTATATATGGACCACTTGTAGAAACAAAAGGTGACTGACAGTGCAATAGCTGACAAGTGTTGATCAGCAGTCAGATAATAGTATATCTCTAAAACTCCCATACTGGTCAGGTGTGTAGGAATTATAACAGCAGACATGTATTTTTATATATAAATTTGGATCATAGAGAAATAATTCCCAATCCTGTACTTTTTAATAAATTAATTAATTCAGTTTGACATCATCAAAAAATCTGTTATTCTTGAAATGTATGTTAAAATGATCAATTCTTAATAGTGTGATGGTTTTGTTTTGAAATTCAAATCATAGTTACAATCCTGATCTTGTCCATATGTTCCAGTGACGGAATCTATTCCCCTTGATCACGATAAGGATTTTTTTCTGTGCGAGAGGGTGATATTATTACTATTGGCCACTTTATACGAGGATAGAAATCAGGAATCTATTTATATGAAATAATAACATCATGGAGGTAAAGGGGTTTGTAATTAATTTTATGCTTCACAACAAAGCATAGACGATTAAAGTGTATGTGTTTTATGCAATTTGAGACATTGGCTATATATTGTTATTGATATTCTATGCATTTATGCTACCTTGTAGCTTAAATATAAGAAAAGTTTTTGTTTGAACTGTTCACTTTGGAAAAAAAAATTGTCCCTTTGTCAGAGCATGATTTTGCAGTACATGAGAGTTTCACCAGAGCTTTGATTTCAATTTTAAACAATTTTAATCTGTTAAGCATTTCATTCATCATGTGAAATTTGAGTAACCTTGATGTACATGTATTACTGACTGTCGTAATCTAATAACATGCTGATATGATTGTCAAACCAAGATTTCCTCACTACTTTGAAATGGATTTTCATGTAGTTGTGCCAAATTGAAATAAAACTTTTGTTTTTTGTTGAGTAAGATGTTTTTTGTGTTTTTCAGTTATCTTTACCCACACCATGTAGCAAGTAATATTACGACATCTTCTCGCATCCTAGGGTTGAGACGTGGGGATTTCCCTATTCATAATTAGGATTTAGGAGGCACGGTAGTCCAGTGGTAGGACGCCGGGCTCGTGACTGAAGGGTTGCGGGTTCGCGCCACGGCACGGCAATGTTTTGTATCTTTGAGCAAGATATTTACTCCGCTTGTTCCAGTCTACTCAGCTGTAAATGAGTAAGTGGTTGGGCAGTGCTAGAATTGTTGAATGCTAGCTGTTAGCGCCGAAATGGCAGCTCGGACTGTATGCTCCCCAGGGAGTTGAGAAATGTATTGGCTGGTTACAAAGGCCTTATAACCACAGATAATAATTTGTGAACCGCTTTGATACGACCTACGAACTAGGTTGTGATAAAGCGGTATATTAGAACCTCCAATTATTATAATTTTATATAACAGTAGTATGACGTCAGGTCAACAATCCATCAACGTCACGTCAAACCTGATTAGCCTGTAACGTTACCATTACATTGTGTA